GAACTCCTATAGAACTCCAAAAGGCAATTGATTATTTAAAGAAAGAATTCGAGATGAAAGATCTCGGAAAGACAAAATTATGTCTTGGTTTGCAAATTGAACATTTGGCAAACGGATTTTTTGTTCATCAATCTGCCTACATAGAAAAGGTATTGAAACGGTTTTACATGGATGGAGCACATCCATTAAGTACTCCGATGGTTGTTCGATCACTTGATGTGAATAAGGATCCATTCCAACCTCAAGAAGAGAATGAAGAGCTACTTGGTCCTGAAGTACCATATCTTAGTGCAATTGGTGCACTAATGTATCTTGCTAATACTACAAGGCCTGACATAACTTTTTCAGTTAATGTCTTAGCAAGATATAGCTCTGCTCCTACAAGGAGACATTGGAATGGAATCAAACACATATTGCGGTATCTAAAAGGAACTAACGATATGGGCTTATTTTATGGCAATATGTGCAATTCCGATCTTGTTGGTTATGCTGATGCTGGGTATTTATCTGACCTGCACAAGGCTAGATCTCAAACAGGTTATGTGTTCACCTATGGAGGCACTGCCATATCTTGGCGATCGAGTAAGCAATCAATTGTGGCTACTTCATCTAATCATGCCGAGATAATTGCTATTTATGAAGCAAGTCGAGAGTGTGTGTGGTTGAGGTCTATACTACATCTTATTCGAGACAAATGTGGTTTGAAATGTGACAAACTACCCATGATTTTGTATGAAGACAATGCAGCATGCATAACTCAATTGAAGCGAGGATTCATAAAAGGAGATAGAACAAAGCACATTTCACCAAAGTTATTTTTCACACATGATCTTCAAAAGAATGGTAATATCAATGTGCTACAGATTCGTTCAAGTGATAATATAGCTGATTTGTTCACAAAATCTCTACCGACGTCAACCTTCAAGAAGCTAATACACAAGATTGGGATGCGAAGGCTCAAGGATGTGAAATGATGCTCTTATCAGTGGGAGTTTAATGCGCGTTGCACTCTTTTTCCCTTACAAGGTTTTGTCCCACTGGGTTTTCCTTGCAAGGTTTTTAACGAGGCAACCAAAAGGCGTATTGTTAGATATGTGTACTCTTTTTCCTTTTCTAGAATTTTTTTTCCTATTGGGTTTTATTTTAGTTAAGGTTTTAACGAGGCACATTACTTATTGAGTAGACATTCAAGGGGGAGTGTTATGAATAGAATTCTATTTAGAGTGAATGTCTATCTTGTAAAGAGTTCTACTTTGTGGCTAAGTCATTTCCCCCCTATAAATAGAGGGGTCTTACCCCATTGTAAATCATCCCAAAATTCAATAAGAATTTCCTCTCTTTTTCTCTGCAATATTGTTCTTCTTCTTTTATTGTTTCATTACAAATGCAAAGATAAATTAGGGCAAAATAAAAGAGGTCTTCATTCCTATCCATAAAAGGAGATAATTACAACCTATATAGAGGAGAAAATCATGAAAACGACCTAAGGATTACAGCTGTATACTCTACTCAATCTGCCATCTCAGTACAATTCTGGGCAGGACTTAGTTTATATAAGAAAAGGAAATTAAGGGATCAATGTGTAATTTAAGGAACTTCTAATTTAAAAGATAAGGAACTTAATAAACATCTATAAAGCTCTTTAATCCTAACTAATTGACCGTTATGTCTCAACTATGCAGCGCGATGTACAACTTCCGCAAGCTCCTCTGTTTTACTCCATATCAGATGTTGATTATTATTGTTATTATGTTTTGCTTTAAGCATCTCGTATTTCAAATCCCACTGGCCCAACTAATCTGGATTAATTGTGTTGATTATGATAATACAGGAATCGACGATCGGGGCAGCTTTCTTTTCGTCTACGCTGGCAGTTAATAATGCTACGGTGAAGTTTGAGATATGGGATACTGCTGGGCAGGAGAGGTACCATAGCTTAGCGCCTATGTACTATAGAGGAGCTGCTGCTGCTATTATCGTCTATGATATCACTAGCTCGGTGAGAAACTATCCTAAAGGGAAAATTAACTATCAAGTGGGTCAATAAAAGTGCTGTCGCTGTTGGCTTATTAACTTATTTTACTTTTGATATATACTGGTATTGCATGTGAAAAGAAATTGGAATAATGGTAGCTTCATTTCATGTTCTTGTAAGGTTGAAAATGGTAGATTTGGAGCCAATTAAAAAAAGCTAATGTTGGTTTGCAAATGACTTTCTCTGTCCATAAATTAACGCAGTTAAGAGGCGGTCCCTATTTTTGCAAAACTTTAGAAGGTTAAGGTATTTAATGCCCATTTCAAAAGTATCAGACAAAAAGTGCAGAAAATGCAGTTATGCTGTTTTCAAAAATCCCAGTTTGTGGAATATTTTGTTCGTTAGGGGTGGGAGGACTTTGCATAAAATGAGAGCAGTGGATAATTTTTGTTCTCTATTGAATTAAGACTGCTGACGGAGAATTCTTATTCAGATTTACTCTGGCTTTTGCTTACTAATTCTGCTTCAGTTTTGCATGATCATAACTCTGTAATATTCCTTCTCAAAAAATAACACTGTAATATGGATGTCTGCATGTTTATGCATATGTCTATTTATCTAAATTGAGATGTTGTCTTATGTTTTCTGCTAATTTAGGATTCGTTTGCAAGGGCAAAAAAATGGGTGCAGGAATTGCAGAAGCAAGGTGCTCATTCCTTCAACCTACCTACTTTATGTAAATAAAAAAGTGGAGTTATAATCTTCTTTCTATTTTGAGTAACTTATCCGAATAGCTCTTTTTTGAGATATACCCTAACAGCTCTTTTATAAATTATAAGATGTCTAAAAAACTGGAGAAATTATCTTGTTACTTTTTATCTTTCGTGAATGGTTTTCTTCTTAGCGTCAGCTTTTCTTTTAATGATCTAAGTTCTGTTTTAAAATAACCAGGACTTTCGTTGCACGAGGTTTTCAATTAAATGAAGCAGTTTGCTGACAATGTGGCAGGTAATCCTAACATGGTCATGGCTCTTGCTGGCAACAAGGCCGATCTAGAAGATAGAAGGAAGGTTACTGCAGAAGTAAGTTGTAACTTTTGGTAATCCAATGTTTACTGCCCATCATTTTCTTATCTTGGGTTCCTTTAATTGGTCCTTGCCAGCCATCTGTGATATCACACTTCTTGGATGGTGATTTTATGCATTGCTAGTTGTCTCAGCTAAACACATATCTGATCTTTAAGGTTGCATTTAAAAAAAAGGAGTTACTAGTGCTTTTTATTGTCCTTGCTTAAGGTTTCTTAACAAGGGCACCATTCATATATTGGATTATAGGTTTGAGGTACAGAAACATTTCATCTGTCTTTAAGATCTTCAGCTTTAGAGCATGATATAAAGCTGAGGATACTCATTTTGGTGAGAATCAATATGAATCAAGTACGTATGAATTGCAAACAGGTTGGGGTCAACTATGTGAATCCTCTGCAGCTATTACTGTATTCAGAGGCTTCATCATAATCAGCCTATTTTTATGTTGGACGTTAAGCTGCACATTTTTTCCTTTTCTGCATTTTGAGCAGATTATGCTTTGTTAAGCTCTCATACGCATAGTTTCTTGTGGGAATTACTTTAGGGCTTAGGTAAATTTAACCCACTGCAATTAGTGCTCAAGGAGAAGTCTGCTGCCTTCATTTTTTTTTTTTTTTTGAAATGCTATTTCATAATTAAGTTTCCTGCAATTAAAAGATAGGTCATACTTGTATAATCTTAGGTGATACATAGATCTCTTCAATTGCGGAACAGGAACGAGTTCTCAATCTACCACCTACCTATCATGTAATTTGTTGTTGTTAAGCTTTTTTAGATCATATGCCAATGTCTTTTTGAACCTTGAATGTTAAAAATACTAATCTCTTGAAGGGAATCAAAAAGACATAAATATTTAAAGTTCTTAGAGGAGATCACTAGAAATCGATATTCTTAAGTTGAGCTGGATTTAGAGACCAAAGTCTACACTAAATTGTAGAAGAGCAGGATAAATAATGGGATCACTGAATTTTAGCTTCTGATGGCTACTGTAGCATTTTTGGAACGTGGAAGGCAAACTTCCAGTTACTAGGGAATCAGCTACGCCTTGTCACTCTGCGTAGTCATTTGTTGTTAGTTAACTTATTGTATCTTTTTTATCTAATATCTACAATATCTTCATTGTTTTGGGATATTGATGTTCTAATATAGTGTTGTTGGTGACTTTACAGGAGGCACGCTTGTATGCGGAAGAAAATGGCCTCTTTTTCATGGAGACCTCTGCCAAAACGGCTGTGAATGTCAATGATATTTTCTATGAAATAGGTATCTTGCATTGCTTTTCTCGTTTTCCTTTTGTTGCTCTTTTGTTTTTCATTTATTTCTGATGGTATACTGAGAGCAGGCAGTATAATTATGCATCCAAGTTTTTGAATCTTAATGGTATAGGTCAAATGTAGTTTTACCTTCGCTAGTTGTCATCTTGTGCTTATCCTATGATATCTGTGTTTTTTTTTCTTACGAATTTCACATTCTTTTTATTTACATTATTTTGGCATTACCGCATTAACAGCATTTAATAATTATTAAATCTAAAAATCATAAGATAGGCTTATTATTGAACCTGCACTCAAAGGGTTGAAGTGCTGCCTAAGTGACTCGAGACAGACTACTCAGATCTCGCTACATCTAGCTCTAAAGCTTAAGCACACTTATTCGCTTGAGCGTCTGTTTACCATACCATAGTTTTTAAGGCATCGTCTAGTGCCTCGGTGCTTAGTTTGTCACTTTCTAAGATCCAACTCGTCTGAGAGTATTGTCCCTTCATGTTATTTGGTGTGAGGAGAGATAATTCACATTTATCTTCTCTTTTTCATTACTTTTCAATTGGAAAAGCTTGAAAAGGCTCATGAGGTGCTTTCTCTCATTTGTTAAGAAATAGCTTTTCTCGTTTGACCATTTTCGCAGCAAACATTTTTATGAGATCTTACAAAGTTTTGCTGTGGGAATTTACTTGTGTTTATTTTAAAAGTGTTTGATTATGGTGAATTCCTGAGACAGTTCTCCTCAAGCAAACTATGTTATATTGAATAGGGGAAAACAACTTTAAGTCTTCTATGTAATTCATATTTTCGACATACCTAAACTCTTATCAATACTACAACTGTTATCAAATTATGCCCCATTCCCACTCTCCCCAAGTCCCCATCGCAATGATGTATGCTCACTTCGATTCATGCTGCTAAACACGAGATGATGCTGGAAATGGTTCTTTTGGTAAAACATGTTAATTCCCAGTTTCCAGACAACTTTTTCGCATGAGCATCTGATAGACCATAAACGGGTGAAAGTGTCACCACTAAGGTGGATCCCCCCCCCCCCCCACACACAACAAAAAAATTATATTAAATAAGTTGTTATGAAAGTATATATACACCACTGTCAAGTTAGATTTTCTTGGAGGTCGGACCTAAGCAAGCATGGCTCACTTCAATCTTATAGTCATTGAGCTTAAACTGGGTTGCTCGAGAGTGGAGTAATCGTGATCTCAAGAGAATGGGATATTTGTAATTACAATTATAGTTGGATCCATGTTTGGATCCAGGGCAGTTTCTGGTAACAGACATTTTTGCTGTATGACCAGTGGATAGTTGATAATTGTTGCTGTTTGTTTCACTAGCACGTCAAATAGGAACGAGGCTTCTATTGGAATTGCCATCACTTCCACTGTACAGGAGGAGCTCTAGCAAGGACTTAAGTGCTGCCTATGCCTCCCCTCAAGGATCAGGGCTCTGTAGATTACCCCTTTAATGTTTACAAATTAGTTTTACCACCTCGGACTGTGAATGCAGTCAACTCTACAAACCCATAGAGCATTTAGTTTGAGTGTAATTGATTAGTGTAACCTAATTAATAGAAAGAGAAAATTAAATGGTTTTGTTTTCACTTGCAAAATAGATACTGTAGTTGGAAGTTGGAACACTATTATTAAGAGTGTCGCCTCAAATAAAAAAAGATATGAATGGAACTATCAATTATTGGATTAACATAGAGCACTTGTTAGCAGACTTTTCCAAACAATACTCCCTCCGTCCAACTGTTGGAGGTTACTCTTTTACATGACATTTTTTCTAGCACACCAACTTCACTTAATTTTTTCCCCTGCTATTACTAATATAATATGCTGTTCAACATATATTTTTCCATTTGCAATCCGATTGTGTATTTATGGATGTGCTATTATGTACACGGGTGGGGTGGGGCGATAGAGAGACAATCTCTTTTATAGTCCTATAGTTACAATTTCAGGAGATATCTTAGGGGTGGTAGTGACATGAGATTCAGGAGGTGAATACCTGCAGTTACCTGCCATAAGGAAATGATACAGCAATACTCTAAAACAGGATTGTAACCTCCAGCAACCTTGGAGTTGAGAGGAAAGGGTGGCAGTTGGGGAGCGACTGCTCTAAAAGTTACTAGTTTTTTAAAGTTATATATACCTTATTGACTTTTAAAAAAAATTTAAATATATTTTACTGAGTTATTAAACTTCTATGTGATTGCTCTTTGGGAGCTCAAGATGGGACTAACAGTTGTCTAGCTTTCCACAATTAAAGAATTAATGGAAGTATGAAATTTTTATTCTTTTAGAACTAGCACTTTATGTAGGTCATTTTACCAGTTGAATGTCTTTTTTATTCGCTTCTATACCCTGATCCCCTGAGTTTGGTATTTTGCAGCTAAACGGTTGCCTAGAGCTCAACCTGCCCAAAATCCAGCAGGAATGGTTCTTGTAGACAGACCAGCAGAAGGGACCCGAGCTACATCATGCTGTACTTAAAATTCTGCATTGTTCATAAATTCATTAAACCTTTCCTAATCTTTGACTGGACTTCGCTTGTTCTTCATGTTAAACATGAAAGTCTGGAAATGGGAGTAGCATGGTTCATTAGGAGATATAGAGTAGAATATGTAAGCTATGTATTTAGAAGCTCCCTATGTTAGAATATGTCATGCTCCTTGTTTCGTTAGTCTTTTCTATTTTGCAAATGATTTGAATTTCCAGTGATCTCTTCATTTCCATCTTATGATTAGTATGGATGAATGGCCCCTATTGTTCCTTGAATTAGGAATAACCTGCTTTGTTTTGGTTTTTGCCTAAAGATGTGGAGTTTTAAATTTGATTCAGTATAGGGGAAAAAAAGAAGAAAATGGACTATTTCGTAAACATTGCACGGGGCGCCCTATTTGGTCGCCCCCATTTAACCTATATCCATTTTTTTTTAAACTTTTAACTTGTACCCACTTTTTAAATAACTTCAACCCCCTTTCTCCTTCTTGCTTTGCAACTCTCTCGAATCATATACAGGAGAATCTCAACTAAGTAGAAAATATATTGGATCCATTACAACTGGATATCCTTCTAAATGGAACATCATAAACTTGGCATTTAAATGTAAATTAAAATTACAAATATTCACATTTTTCACAGAAGATGAGTCCTAACTTAATGAAATAGATGGAACAAAAGGAGCTTATTTCTCACATGAGAAGACATGGCACAATCCGGAGAAGACATTACTCTTCAACCCGAAGGATAATCAAAGGAGTTATTAGTATCTAGGTTAACTAAATAACTTCAGCTGTAGAGCTGAAGTTCGCCAGTTACGAAACAAAAACAAAAACTTCAGCTCTAGAGTTGAAGTTTGCCAGTTACAAAATAAAAACTTCAGCACACTTGTTACTTTAGGCCCGTCCACTAGAATACTGAAGTTTTGCGTGATTGTCTTTGCTACTTCAGCCCAGTATGCTGAAGTTATGCGAAAAAGCGGGTACGCTTGCAAATTTTTTTACGCGGGAACAAGTTAAAACATGACACAAAAAACAGGTATAGACACAAATGCCCCACTATTTCAGACTTTCCGGTTTTTGTATATGGAGAGTTTATCAAAATTATTCTGGTTTCGGAAAGTAATAATAGCAGCAAAAGTTCTCTTAGGTAGGACTTCTCTTATAACTTCTCAAGTGATATATAAGGTACAAAAAAAAAAAAAAAAAGGACAACCC